CTTCTTCTTCTTCATCCTCATCCTCTTCCTCTTCTTCTTCTTCTTCATCCTCTTCTTCTTCTTCTTCTTCTTCTTCTTCATCCTCATCTTCTTCATCCTCATCTTCTTCTTCTTCTTCTTCTTCATCCTCATCTTCTTCTTCTTCTTCATCCTCATCCTCTTCTTCCTCATCCTCATCTTCTTCTTCTTCTTCTTCTTCATCTTCTTCTTCTTCTTCTTCATCTTCTTCTTCTTCATCTTCTTCTTCTTCATCATCTTCTTCTTCATCATCATCTTCTTCATCATCATCTTCTTCATCATCTTCTTCTTCTTCTACTTCTTCATCCTCATCTTCTTCTTCTTCCTCATCCTCTTCTTCTTCTTCTTCCTCATCCTCTTCTTCTTCTTCCTCATCCTCTTCTTCTTCTTCTTCTTCTTCATCTTCTTCTTCTTCTTCTTCTTCCTCATCCTCTTCTTCTTCTTCCTCATCTTCTTCTTCTTCTTCTTCTTCCTCTTCTTCTTCTTCTTCTTCTTCTTCTTCTTCATCTTCTTCATCTTCTTCTTCTTCTTCTTCTTCTTCTTCTTCTTCTTCTTCTTCTTCATCTTCTCTTCTTCTTCTTCTTCTTCTTCTTCAACATCTTCTTCTTCATCATCTTCTTCTTCATCATCTTCTTCATCATCTTCTTCTTCATCTTCTGCTTCTTCTTCTTCATCCTCATCTTCTTCTTCTTCTTCTTCTTCTTCTTCTTCTTCATCCTCATCCTCTTCTTCTTCTTCCTCATCCTCTTCTTCTTCTTTTTCTTCTTCATCTTCTTCTTCTTCATCATCTTCTTCATCTTCTTCTTCTTCATCTTCTTCTTCATCTTCTTCTTCTTCATCTTCTTCTTCTTCTTCTTCTTCATCATCTTCTTCTTCATCATCTTCTTCATCATCTTCTTCTTCATCTTCTGCTTCTTCTTCTTCATCCTCATCTTCTTCTTCTTCCTCTTCTTCTTCATCCTCATCCTCTTCTTCTTCTTCCTCATCCTCTTCTTCTTCTTCTTCTTCATCTTCTTCTTCTTCTTCATCTTCTTCTTCTTCATCTTCTTCATCATCTTCTTCTTCATCATCTTCTTCTTCTTCATCATCTTCTTCATCATCTTCTTCTTCATCATCTTCTTCTTCATCATCTTCTTCTTCATCATCTTCTTCTTCTTCTTCATCTTCTTCTTCTTCTTCATCTTCTTCATCTTCTTCTTCTTTATCTTCTTCTTCATCTTCTTCTTCATCTTCTTCGTCGTGCCCCGTGACTGCCCAAATGAGTGAAGTGTGCGGTGATTCTAAGATCGACGGCACTCATCTGCATGTCATACTGACTGACAGTATTATTTCTCTTCCCCAGCAGACTCCAAGGGCATTTAAATTAAAGGTACAGTGTTCTGCACTAATATAAAGGCTCTCTGAAGCCTAGAAACCCTTTTAATAAGTTAAATTCGCAGCGAATAAATTTGCATCGAATCGAATTTATTCCGCAAATTCGGTGAATCAGCCGAATCAAATTTTTGAATAATTCGCTCATCTCTACTTGTGTTACTTGTCCTTTTTTCATCTGATTTTCATTTTTCCTGCAAGGATATGTCAATTCTGCCCTCCCTTCTCAGCCACAATTACCCCTGCTTCTCAGCCCTGCTTCTACTGCCTCCTGTAAAGTCTTTCCTCCCTATTCTAGGAAAATGAATGAATTTCCCCCTCCTGTCCCAAAGTCTTGGACCCTGTGTCAAACGACCATTGATTTAGGAAAAAGTTTTTCGATTAGTAGCTTAGTTTTTTTTAAGCAACCTCACAATTAATTGATGGGGAATCCAGGGAAGGATTTATGTTCAGAGTTAAACTTTAATATATGACAGTAAAATACACCAAAAATAAGGAAAACACTTTGTAAAAATTGTATATTCTCTTTAAATTGTCCTGACTCCTACAAATATTAAAAAACAAACAAAACACACCAACATATCTTTTCGGCATGGCAAAGGGAGAGTGGTATTGCCACAATTTAATTGTATATGGAAATCTGTACAGTGATCGGTGTCCTCTGGACAAAGCGGACACCAAATCACGGTGCCACGCGCTCCCAGGGAGTGTGCAGAGGGTGAAAATGAGGGCGCCATTTATGAACGGCAACCCGCTCCTGCACTGCTCCCGTCTGGTCGTTTCTGTACATGGGCAGGATGAGAAGTGGTTAAATGAATAAAAAGAGAAAATATTCCTGCGGCAATACAAAACTAATGATGATCTAAATTGCTGCTGTGCAATGTGATAATACAAACAGTGATAGATATAAATCAAACAGCGCAAAAATAGACCTCTAAACAAATATTAACCTTCCTAGCGGTCTGATTATTTCAGATTTTTGGTGCTGAAAGCGGTACCATTTTTTTGCATGGAAATATGTAGTTTTTTTTATTGTAGGACTGTAATTTTTAGGAATAACTCACTGAAATCTGTCCAAACAAGAGTCTAGTAAACATCCCGGGTATGATAAAATTTGAAACACGAAATCATAAATTATAATTTAATAAATAATCATAAAAATAATAATATAATAATAATAAATGTAATTCAATAATATAATCAAACCAAAAACACTGAAATGTGAAATATAGCGCCAAGTTCGCACATCGCTGAGCTCAGTCGCAGAATCGTTTTCAGTGTCTGATGAGGAATTTCCCCCACAAATCATTATCACTCAATTCTGCAAGTGGTTCTGATTTACTATCGCTGTTCTCTAGCCGGTCTAAAACCGCTTTTGACCTAAAGGGACGCTTTTTGGACACCATGGACGTTTCTCAGTTTCCAGGCAGAAAGAACAGTAAAAATGCAGGCAGGGCGCCGGACAAAGCACTCGGGACACAATGTATGTGAAATGGTTTGAAACAGCAATGTTTTGCTATGCAAAATTTGTTTAGAAAAAAATGACGTTTTTTAAAATTTTCAAATTTCCCGCCGCCGCCCATACATCCCGACGTCACAGGGACCTGAACACAGAAGCCGGATGCCGGCATCGGCCGGAGGAGATGGCCGGGGATGCTGCAGGGGACACATCACGGGAGTGAAGGACAAGGTAAGCCCTGCAGGGACTCCCTATGCAGCGCTGCATGGTAAGTGTAGCTCGGGGTTACCACTTTTGGCACTGACATTTTACCCCGAGCTACACTTGGGAATTAAGGTTAAAGTGCACTTAAAATAAATCACAAAACATAAATGCCCACTTAAAATTGGTGAATATCTCATATCATATATCTTTCTCCAAAAAAATATATAAAAAACACCACAGGACCATGTGTGATGAAAGACTGGGGATTCCAAACAATCTTAGGATCAAAAAAACTTCCACCTTCCACCCGTGCACACCAACATCAATTGCACTCACCAGATATTGGTGAATGAGAAGCCTTTAGGGATTTTTAGGGATCCTAAACCCTCTTTTCCCTGGTGACACGGTGGAGCAATTCAGAGAGCTGTGGTGGGGACCTGAAAGAAGATCATAACCTGGTGGTCTAAGGATACTATAGAGCTGATGAAAAGAGGGTTTAGATCCCTAAAAATCCCTAAAGGCTTCTCATTCACCAATATCTGGTGAGTGCAATTGATGTTGGTGTGCACGGGTGGAAGGTGGAAGTTTTTTGATCCTAAGATTGTTTGGAATCCCCAGTCTTCATCACACATGGTTCTGTGGTGTTTTTTATATAATTTTTAGAGAAAGATATATGATATGAGATATTCACCAATTTTAAGTGGACATTTATGTTTTGTGATTTATTTTAAGTGCACTTTAATATTTGTTTAGAGGTCTATTTTTGTGCTGTTTGATTTATATCTATCACTGGTTAAATGAATGCCTACAAGTACCATCAGCTGCATTGCAGTTTTTCTCCCCTATCCCCCTTCCCTATGATATTGGGCGGGGGATCCTCTCCCTGCACTCGCTGTCACAATTTGAAAAAATAAGCCTTTTGGGGCTCCTCCCACACAGCCACATTATTCATTTACAGTTTGTGTGAATGAATGCCTACAAGTACCGGCAGCCATTGTGGCTGATGGCTTGTAGTTCTCAATGAACTATGAAGGAGCTAAAGAGCACTCTGGTAGTTCGTTGATCTTCCTGCTCTCAAGCAACTGCCTGCCCATACGAGTTACAGCCACACAGCCAGGGGCGGAATGACCATTTGGAAACTCGGGCACTGCCCAAGGGCCCGGGGTCAGTAGGGGGCCCCATGAGATGCCCCTGGTACCTTTTTCATAGGCTTTTTTGAGTTTGGGCAAGGACACAGGGACCCCATGATCCCCTATTGCCCGGGAGCCCCATGAGTTGTCAGTCCGCCCCTGCACACAGCTATGCTGGGAGTCTGTAGGAGCCTCAGATTGCACCTATTATCTGCTTATCACAGGTGAAATGCCCTGCAGGCTCCTTAGAAAAAAGAATATAATTGCGCATTTACCTGAAAAAACGTGAATTTATTTATTTGATTTATTTATTTTTTTTAAAGTGAACTTATCCTTTAAGGCATACAACCAAATATTTTTGCATAAACATTATATTTTTATATACCTGTCACTGTATTAGTTTGCTTTTTCATCTGTAATCACAAGAGGATTTTAATTGATTCCCTTCAGACTTCGCATTGCTTACCAGTTCTATGTTCTACATATAAAAGGAGAAGTATAATTGCAGTCCCTGTTTTGTGAAGAACTCTCAAGCTGCCTTAAATGTATGTTTTACCCCCGAGTCATTATAAGGACCATGATTGATATAACCGTTTATACTTATTACAATGGCATAAGGATTTTTTTTCCCCTTCAGTAGAAAATTGGATCGTGCTTTGCTGGATTTTTTTTGCCTTCCTCTGGATGAACTGTGGGTATAGGATTATATATATTTTTTTTTGGTTGAACTGGATGGACTTTTGTCTTTTTTCAGCCAGACCAACTATGTAACTATATACAACTTGGTACTGAGCATAAATCCCACTTTTAATTTCTAGGAAAACCTTGAATTCCAGTTCAAAAACGTGAAATCAGATTTGTGTTTTTGTCACAGCTAATGAACTCAATGTAATTCTGTGTGTTGTTAGTATTGACCAAAAAGTATGGATGTTTTGCGTGGATTGTGCCAATATGATGGAATAGAAAAAAGAAAGAAAGACTTTCTCCAATTGGACTCTAGTAACGCTCATTTTTCTTTGGTCTTTGAAATTTTAAATCCTTCTATGCAGTAAGTATTATTCTGAGAAAATTAGCTTTTTGATCTTTTTTTTTAAAAGGTGTCACATTTTATGCATTGTTGCTGGTGGACACACGATTTGGCATACAGGGCAGCAGAGTGGCTAAATGGTTAGCACTTCCGCCTGGCAGTACTAGGGTCGTTGGTTCGTATCACAACCATGACACTACCTGCCTGGAATTTGCATGTTCTCCCTGTGCCTGCGTGGGTTTCTTCTGGGTGCTCCGGTTTCCTCCCCCACACTCCAAAGACATGCTGGTAGGTTAATTGTCTCCTGTCCAGTGGGGTATTTAGGTTTTTTGCTGCCCTAGGCAACACAAAAATCAGATGCACCTCCTCCCTAGCATAGAGATATCGTATGTACTCTCCAGCACCTCAGGATATGCACAGCCAAAAGGGAAGCCAAGGGTAGCAGGACAGCGACAACCAAAGGAAATGCTTCAGGGGTGCAGCCCTCCTCAGACGGGGAAATCAGCCACTGGATAGAGAGAAAACAGGTGGTGCACACACCTAGTGCATTATCCAAGGTTTATTGTAGGAGTGAAAGAATAAAAACATACTCATAGACGAAGCATGTATCTAAAAAGCATAGAAAAATGACAATGGCCACAGCGGCAGGCAAGGTGTCCTCACTGTCAGTGCGGTCAAATGGTTGACGCGTTTCGGGGACGATCCCTTTCCCCAGAGCTGATGACCAACCTCTGATGCTGATGTATTACGAATGGAAAGTAGGAGCCTTGCTGTTGATGCCTCTACAGTGAGAAAACCTTGCCTGCCGTTGTGGCCATTGTCATTTTTCTATGCTTTTTAGTAGAGATGAGCGAATTATTCAAAAATTCGATTCGACTGATTCGGCGAATTCGTGAAAAAATTTCGATTTGAGTCGAATATATTCGCTGCGAATTTAACTTATAAAAGGGTGTTTCTAGGCTTCAGAGAGCCTTTATATTAGTGCAGAACACTGTACCTTTAATTTAAATGCCCTTGGAGTCTGCTGGGGAAGAGAAATAATACTGACAGTCAGTATGACATGCAGATGAGTGCCGTCGATCTTAGAATCACCGCACACTTCACTCATTTGGGCAGTCACGGGGCCAAAACCAGAGTGTGGAGCCACAGTGTGGCGGTGGAGGCAGCAGCAATGGGAGGCCATACAGCACCCTATGACAAAAATGGAAACCACCAGCAGTGTGAGGAGACCTGAAATTGGCACATGGCAGAGTGTGGCGATGGAGACAGCAGCAATGGGAGGCCGTACAGGGACCCATGACACACTCTGGACCTGGCAGCAGCATGAGGAGGCGGTACAGGGGCCCATGACAGATTACGGGCCTGGCAGCAGCATGAGGAGTCGGTACGGGGGCCCATGGCAGATTACGGGCCTGGCAGCAGCAATGGGAGGCCGTACAGGGACCCATGACACACTCTGGACCTGGCAGCAGCATGAGGAGGCGGTACAGGGGCCCATGACAGATTACGGGCCTGGCAGCAGCATGAGGAGTCGGTACGGGGGCCCATGACACACTCTGGACCTGGCAGCAGCATGAGGAGGTGGTACAGGGGCGCATGACAGATTACGAGCCTGGCAGCAGCAACTTGGACAGGAGGACGTTCAGCTTCTGCACCGTCGGGTGCGTGCTCGCAAACTGTTGTCTCTTGGAAACGGATTCCAAGAAAGACTGCTGACGGAATCCGTGAAGAGGAGTAGCAGGAGAAGGAGCATCTGAACGAGCGGAATATGCCAACAAGCGACAACAGGGGCCCATGACAGATTACGGGCCTGGCAGCAGCATGAGGAGTCGGTACGGGGGCCCATGGCAGATTACGGACCTGGCAGCAGCAATGGGAGGCCCGTAATCTGCCAGCACCCTATGACAAAAAATGGAACACACCAGCAGTGTGAGGAGACCTGAAAGTGGCACATGGCAGAGTGTGGCGATGGAGACAGCAGCAATGGGAGGCGGTTCAGGGACCCATGAGACACTGTGGACCTGGCAGCAGCATGAGGAGGCGGTACAGGGGCCCATGGCAGATTAAGGCCTGACAGCAGCAATGGGAGGCCCGTAATCTGCCAGCACCCTATGACAAAATGGAACCCTGGGCTGGGGCAGGCAGAACCGCCGTATCTTTATCACGGTTTTCCCAGGCCACCGAATGGCGACGCTGCATATGCTGACGCAAAGCTGTAGTCCCAACATGGGCCCCCTGGCCACGCTTGACTTTTTGGCCACATAG